TCTGTTTCTCCAGGACGTCCACAAACTTCACAAACAGATCCAGAGGTGCTACGCAGAGAACAGACGGGCCTCGCATCCAGTGCAGGTTGGTGCCGCGTACACGACAACGATAATGATGGCGCTGCGTTTGTTTGTTTGTTTGTTTTTTTGGAAAATATTTTTATTGAAAAAAGAAAACAACAGTACCGAAATACAATCAACCTTTCTTCATTTTTCTAAGTAAATAAACTTATATATATACATGAAAAAAAACAACGCATTCTAAAAGAAAGACCCCCTCCCCCCGTCCCACACAGATCAACACAACCATCAAACATATTGGAGGAATATAACAGTGACAGAGGTACGTTTAAACAGGCAATACCTCTAGACTAGCAAAATAAGAGATCAAGGGTTGCCACTTGTGAAAAAATTTGGCTGTGCAACTTCTCAACGTATATTTAATTTTTTCAAGTTTTAAAAAAACATGACATCTCTAAGCCACCGGGTAATAGTAGGATACTTAACAGACTTTCAATGCAACAATATTAGACGTCTGGCTAATAGGGATGTGAAGGCTATAATATCCTTTTGTGTGGAATCAAGTGTAAGTGAGCGAACAGGAATCCCAAATACAGCAATCAGAGGACAAGGACGAAGAGTTACCCCAAGAACAGTTGACATAATAGCAAAATACCCCGTCCAGAAACCTTGTAGCTCAGGACAGAGAAAAAACATGTGGCTAAGGTGACAAGGAGAACCATGGCAACATTTATTTTCCACTTCTGGATACAATTCAGAAAGTCTAGACTTAGAGAAATGCACCCTGTGTATGACCTTAAATTTAATTAGTCCAAGACGAGCACTGGAGGTGGAAGATCGTACCCTCGCTATAGCCTGTTCCCAAGACTCCTCATGTATTCGAATTCCTAGTTTTCCTTCCCACGTACACTTAAGCTTAACATTAGAGTGGTTACTAAAAGACGGGATAGCATCATAGAGTTTCGAAATGGTTCCTCTGTGATGAGGAATAAATGATAACGTAGTTTCCCACTGCTGTTCTGGAGGTAAAGAGGGGAAATTTGGGAAACACTTGGCAACAAAATTTCGAATTTGAAAATAGCAAAACAAATGGGTAATAGGGAGATTATAACGAGAAGACAAGTTGGGAAAACTATCAAAAACACCATCCACATATAAATGTTTGAACTGTTTTATACCCTTGTCACACCACACTGAGAATGTCGAGTCCAAAAGTGAAGGGGGAAACAAATGGTTGTCGCTTAGAGGACCCGAGGAAGACGGCATTACAAAATTAAAGTGACGTCTAAACTGAAACCAAATTTTGAGTGTGTTAAGAACCACCTGATTATCAGTGTACAGAGAGGGTTTTACGGGTAAAGAGGAATAGAGCAAAGCCAGTAAAGAAGAGCCCTTACATGATGATAGCTCCAATTTACACCACGAGGAACCAGAAGATTTTAGCCAGTAGCAAAGTTTATGGATGTGAGCGGCCCAGTAGTAGGCTAAAAAATTAGGTAATGCAAGTCCTCCACTAAATCTGCATCGCTGCAGCAAAGTTTTAGAAACCCTAGGTG